CCCAGACAAGATCCTTCCAGTCACCCCCCCACCATCCATGTTAGTGGAGTTGGGAATTTAATTCCACCCATTAAAAACATTTTTTTAACCCATTTGTTGATTTTAGAGAGAGGAAGAGAGGGGGGAAGAGAGAAACATAGATTTGTTGTTCCATTTGTCTATGCATTCATTGGTTGATTCTTTTAAGTACCCTGAAATTGAACTGGCAACCCTGATTATATCAGGATGATGCTCTAACCAACTAGCAACCCAGCCAGGGCCTAATTCCACCCATTTTTAAAAAATTATCTTTATTATTGACAGTGTTACAGATGTCCCCTTTTTAATTCCACCCATTTTTATGCCACATGGGAAGTGAGCTGTTCTAGGTCAGTGTTGCTGTACGTGCACCTGCGTCTCTGTCTTGACTTCCTGTCCTGCTCGTTGCCCCTTCCTGCTGGTTCAGAGTCCTTGGTCCTTTAGTCTCTCGGTGGATGGGCTCTGGTCTTCTACTTGCGCCGTCTCCAGCGCAGCCTCTGCCTCTGGGCTCTGGACATAGTGGCCGGGCCTGAGCCTCCGCTGCCCCTTCCTGGCGGCCGTGCACTGGGATTCCTCCCGAGTGGCCAGAGGCCCCAGGCAGGCAGTAAGGGGCTGTGCACACAGTGAGCAGGCGTGGGGCAGGGTGTGTGTGGCCTGGTTTGTGCCCAGCGGCCTTGGGGACGCGCTCACTCCTCCTGACCTCCGTTCTCCTTCCCAGCTTTATCACCTTCCGCTCCTGCGCTTACCTCGACAAGAAGCACACCATCTTCGGGCGGTAAGAGAAGTTGCTGTGTGAGGTCAGGGGTGTTGGGAGGGTGGGCTCCTTCCCCAGCTGGAGCCTCTCGCTGCCTTTTCCCGCGGCCTGGCCCTGCAGGACTGGGACTTGGGGCTTCTGTGTTGGGCAGGGGACCTTGGCTAAGAAGAGCGCAGCTCCAGCCCTGCCTGGTGGCTGTCCTGCCCGGTCAGCCCCTCGGGTTCTCCTTTGGAGACCCCAAATCACAGGTCTGGGCATCTCCTTCTCTCCATCCTGGGAAGGCCCAGGGGAATTTCCAGCTGTGTGGCCTTGCGGTCTCTGTCTCACTCAGCTTTGTGGTTGTGGCAGAGCAGCCACAGTGTGGAAGCAGCGGGGCTGTGTCCTAATAAAGCCTCACCTCTCAGGCCCCTCCTGTCCTGGCCCACAGTCCTGTGCTGGCCCGCAGGTCTTCCTGAATCTGTCTGCGCCCTCGCCTGTGAGGCCAGCATGTGCCTGCAGCCCCTCTTCCTGGCATGCTCTGGGGACTTGGCCTTTGGGGTGCCCTGCTCAGGGCATATTCAGAGGCACCCTTCCCTCTGCTGCAGGGTTGTTGGGGGCTTTGACACACTAACAGCCATGGAGAATGTGGAGAGTGACCCCAAAACTGACCGCCCTAAGGTATGTGCCCCGGGAGAACAGAGGGGCTGCTCCTCAGGCTCAGCCGGGCAGTTGTGGGGTCCTGTCTCCTGCCAGCGCTGCTCACGGCCCCCTCTGCTGTAGGAGGAGATCCGCATCGACTCCACCACGGTGTTTGTGGACCCCTACGAGGAGGCTGATGTTCAGGTGAGGAGTGTCTGGCCACAGGGGGAGGGCTTCGGGGAGTCCTATCCAGCCCGAGGGGCTCTGGGTCAGCCACATCCCTGCTCCACCACAGATCGCCGAGGAGCGGAAGAAGACACAGCTCGCGGAGGCAGCCCCCGAGAGCACAGTGAAGAAAAGCCAGTCCAAGTCAGGGAGCCAGGGCCCCCCAACCTACCGCCAGGGGGTGGGCAAGTACATCAACCCTGCAGCCACGTGAGTGGGGTGGGAGCTGGTGTCCGTTCCCAGGGTGCGTCCATGTGCTTACCGATCCAGGATTGAGCAGTGACGGGAGCTGGGAGGCTCGGTGCAGCTGAAGGGATCAGACGCGGGTGGGGGTGATGTGGAACGCCTGGCTCTTCTCTCCCCAGGAAACGTGCGGCTGATGAGGAACCATCCACCAGCGCAGCTATCCCCGTGGCCAAGAAGAAGCCCAGTGGAGGTTTCAAGGACTTCAGCGCGTGGTAGCGGCAGGCCTGCTGCTCGGACCCAGGTAGGGACGCGGTGCTGGTTTCCACACCCTGAGGTTTCTGCCCGCCCACGCCAGCCCTTGCCTGTTGCTTGGGTTCCCTTTCCTGTCCCAGGAGCCCATGGGCCTCCTCCTCCCTCACCCAATGCAGTGTCCTGGCCCCAGCCAGAGCCCACGTCTGGGACCTCTGGGTCTGGGTCGGGGAAGAAGAGCTGTTGTCTCCTGTCCCAGTTTTCTTACCATCACCTCCCACTTCCGTCATCTTCTTGGGACTGTTTTTACTCCATGTGGCCTCCCGACCAGCGGCCTCACCCGAACCTTGTTAGAGTCTGACCCGGAGGCGGGGCTCCGAGGTCTGTGTCCACGGGGGCTTCTGATGCCAGTGATTTGAGGACCCTGGACTAGAACCTAGATGTTACTTCCAAAAACCTTTCTGCCCCCTCTTGCTTGGGTTTGCTGGGTCCAGCTCAGCAAGGACCATGGGCAGTCACAGCCATGCCCAAGGCACGCCTGCTCTGGGTTCTACCCCAGGACTGCCCACCTTCTGTCTCAGGCTGGTGACAAGACCACACCTGGGTGAGGCTGGCTCCTGTTGGACGTGCAGAAGGCCCCAGCCAGCCAGTGTGCGCGCGCCCCCACCCCCTTCCACCCTCAGGGCCCATCCTTGTACTCAAACCCGGCCACCAGTCCCAGCTCTTAGGACTTTCGGGCAGCCACACCAGCATTTCCTAACTTAAGAGTCCCTTCCCTGACCCTGTTTTTCCAAAAAGCTTCCTCTTGCCCACCCACCCTTGTTTTCTGTTCCTTCTGCAGCCTGTGCCCGCCCGGTTTCCCTTCTCCTGACCTTGACACTACCTCAGCTCTCCTGAAGTGCCTGCAGAAGCCGCGGACAGCTGCCTCCTCCCGGGAGCTGTCTCCTCTACCCTGGGCTCTAAAAGATCCCTGTTCCCCTCACACCTCTTCTCAACGCCAAGATCCTTGGGTCGGCACAGCCCACCACCTCCTCCTGCTCAGCACGCTGAATTCTAACTCCGTTTCATCCTTGGTTTCTCACCCCAAACCTCAGTTCCGTCAGTAAGTCTCGACAGTTCTTCCAGAATGCACCTGGCTCTTCTCCCAGCTCTGATGCTCAACACCAGGCCCAAGCCCGGTGTCTCACCTGCCTCCTCCTCTGGCCCTCGTGCACGGCCACACCGACGCTGAGTCACCGTCCCACAGCTGCTGACCAGCTGCTGACCTGACAGTGGCTCTCCACTGTGTCCGTCCCTCTGTGGTCTCCCTGCCCGTCAGCTGTCTAGCTCCTCTGCACCTTTAGTCACAGTGGTCCCTCACTTCTTCACGACCCCTTCACACCACCCTCCAAGCTACAGACGTCTGCAAACTCACTCGGGAAAGGCTGTTTGCACCAGCGTGGTCTCCAAGAGCCTGGCAGACCCAGGAGGCGGCAGGCAGGTGGGTGTGTGACAGCACAGGGCCCGGCTGCCTCTGGAGGAGACCCTGTGCTCCCGTGGGAGCGGCGTGGCCCCAGGGCCTGTCCCTCAGCAGCAGAGCCAAGCACCTGCTACTGCAAAGGAATCGCTGGACATGGAAGCTTTATTTCTGAACCTCACACTGACACAGGCGGGGGAGGCTGTGTGTGCGCGCTTGGCAGTCCAGCTCCGAGGGGGCCTCCGGGCTAGGCCAGGCTGCAGCCCCACAGAGCGGCCCCCAGGTCGGCCCAGAGCCTTTGACAAATGAGGTTTACATTCTGTAGGTTATTTTGGAGCTTACAATGTAGTTTTCCAGAAATTAAAAGCACTTGGATTTTTTAAGTACCTGGTGAGGTCATCAGGCAAATTAAAGGACTTTTGAAAAATTCCCATTTCTGATCCTTGCTAATATCTGACAGATGCCATCAAGAATAAGTGTTAAGGTATAAAAATATTATATATGTATATATAAAATGGCAACAAGACTAAACCACATTTCTAAAGCAAATGTACTGAGCCAGAGGACACGGCACAGTTTTAAGTTAAATGCATTTGTAATCCTGGCATCACCTCCCACTCAGGGAAAAAATAGTTTAAATAACTTAAAAGTCGGGATGACATTTACTGTTTAGGAATTTGAGAGGGTGGAACATACCAGCACGTAGTTGTGGCTCGTGGATGTCCTTCCCTGAAGCCAGCTCAGTTCATTTGGTTTCAAAAGGAGCTTGGGTTTTGCAGACCAACAAAAAAGTGGTGAGAATATTTGTATCAATTATATAAAAAACAAAAAAAGGCATAAGACCAAGAAAAAGGTTTCGATGCCATCAAAAATACGATACAAAACCAAAGTGCTCAAATTGAAGGAGCAGTAAAATTGCCCAGAACATATAAAAGCTTTAAATATAAGTTTAGTATATACAAAAACCGGTCAGGAGAATTTTAGATTCAGTTGCAGCAAAGACCTGGAGACACGCAGGAGCCGCTGCCCTGGCCCAGCGGGAGGGGCTCAGCACCGCCCACTTCCCTGGTCCGGAGCCTCAGGTGCAGCAGAGGCTTGTAGAGGAACCAAAACGAGAAGGGCGTGTCCATGGCGGCCTGGTTGTCACCACGAGTACTCACTCAGGGAAGGCTCCCTCAGTCCTCCACGGTTCCCCTAAGGGCCGAGCTGCAGGTGTTTGCGGTTTCACATGCCAGCGCGAGCGCGAAGCGTCTTCAGGTTTCCCACTGCTCGCTGCCCTGGAGGCCCGAGGCTGCACAGCCGAACCCTACCTTGGATACACGGCCGGGCCCGGTCAGCCTAGATCTCTGGACACCAGCTCGGCAGCAGCGCCAGCTGGAGCGCTGCGAGTGCAGAGGCTTCCACAGCGGCACCAGGACCTTCCTTCGGCCGAAGATGCGGGGCAGAGGCTCCTCGGGCACTGACCCACCCTGCTCTCCGGCTGCCATGTTCCCCGTGTTCCAAGGCTTCGAGACTCAGGCAGAGATGGTGCCAAAGGGGAAGCTCCAGGTGAGCAGCCGAACCAGAACCAGGCAGGGAGCCCTGTGCCTGCACGGCCACGGCTCTGGGCTCGGGAGGCTGGGGTCGGGGCAGGGGCTCATGCTCGCTGCCATTGGACTAACCTCGCCTACAGGCTGAGAAGCACCCGGGCACACGGCTCTCCTCTCCCTGCTCCCCGGGGCCTTTTCCTGCCCTTGGCGCCGGGAGCCGGTGAGCCTCACGCCACGGTGACCACACAGAGGCCTCCGGGGGTGGAGTTGGCTTAGAACATTGAAACAGAAAACTTATTTGGGAACATTTTTGATCTAAATTTTTTACAAATTGGCCAAAACCCGTGCAGTGCCCACTCCCTGCAGAAACGGGTGGGTCAAAACTTAAACATGTGGCGGCTACTCAGGACCTAGGACACTGCACAGGCCCTTCTGGGACAGCCCATGGGACAACCAGGCAAGGCAGGTGACCCGCTGAGCAAACCAAACATCTCATTTACAAAGTTTAAACCTGTCTTGCAACTTTAACCTTTTCTGAAAACATTAAAAACAATCTACCAAATCTCAAGTTTGAAAGTTTATCCTGTTAGTTCTGGCCTCTTTCATATGCAAAAATAATTATTTTTCTTCAAGTACATCAGAGTAGAAAAGGAAGTCCGATTTACTCAGTCCAGTGTGTTAAACTAGTACTCCATGGACCAGCGCTCAGTGCCTGCCTCACGTCAGCCCCACCTCCGGAGCCTGGTCCGGGACCTGGCCCTGGCACAGCTGCGCCCGCAGGCCCTGGGTCAGTCTTTGCTAACAACTGGTTCACTTGATTCCTAGATAAGGAGGCTATTGGCTTAAATAAACAGGATGTTCCATTGAACACTGAACACATTTCTCTATTTCTAGCTTACCTAAAATGTTATCAATGGTATCTTCTGGTTTTGAACAAGGCTAAGAAAAACACCCTCCGTGTACAGATTTGACTGCTTCTGGAATATTCTGAAATGAGCACTGTGACTTAACAGCTCATTTGCAAGAGAAATAACCAATTTGTAATTTTGCAAATTCGGAAAAAAGTGGGCTATAACACTGTCCTTCTAAACGACAGGGGTGAACCTGCTCTCTAGAGACCCTGTCCCTGTGGTCTGTAGATTCGGCTCGTTCCTGTCAAATGTGAAAGAGCAGCCAAACTTCATCTTAAAGTCACAGGTTCAAGAAGGTATTAACTAGACAGATAAGCCGTCAGCTGGTTAATTCTTCCTCTAGGATTTGAGACACTAGAAAAGGGTCACTGGAACGTTTCTGAAACGACCACATACATGAAGAGGACATAGACCAAATGGAGCCTTACCCATGGGAACGGCCGGAAGAGGCAGGCTTGCAAGGTTCAAGTTCAAGAAATAGTCATCCAGGACGCTCCTGTTTCCATTCCAATAAAGTCTCTCGCAAAACAGGATTCAGAAGAGAACAGGAAGCCTTCGCTTTACTCCCAACCATTGTCTTTGATCATGTGGGCAAGCTCAATGATAAATTTCCCTTCCTTATATTTCTGACTGCTTTCAAAGGCGTGTTCCTTGGGGAAAAAGTAGAAACAGAAGGTTTCAGGAAAGACTGTTTCATTCTCAACTTCGCTGCACTCTGAGCAGAGAAAGTGAGTGAGTGTATGGTAGCACGTCTCCCCAGACGTCCCCTGCAAGGCTCATGGCTGGGGTCTGTCTCGGTGACAAGCCCACTGAGGGCAGCGCAGGGCTGCTGTGCCTGTGGCATCAGGTTACAGTTAAACTTGTAGGGAAACAGGAATTCCGATTTGTTACTGAGCACCTGCCACGTGCAGGGCAATTGGGAGGAGGAAGAGGAGGGAGATGCTCCTTCCAGGGACTCCAGGTGAGAGGAGGGGGCAGGTGAGTGCACTGGGAGCCCGGGCATAGTCAGAGATGCTGTAGGGAGCGAAGGCCCTTTGTTGGGGGCCGGGGTGGTCAGGGATGGCATGGGCCCAGCGGGGAAGGACGGGGGAATGTGCAGGCCTCACTAAGCTCGCCTCTGTGCTGGGCACTGTGTCTCCTCATATCTGACGGGGACGTGGGACACAGCAACGACCGAGAATTCCAGGAGGGAGAGCCGTGCCCTGACGAAGAAAACCAGTATGGCATGCAGGAGGCAGCCGATCAGTCATTCTCATTGATGCTTCTACCTCTCTCTTCCTCTCCCCTTCTCTCTGAAAGCAATAAAAACATTTTAAAAATGAACTCTTGCCCTGACCGGTTTGGCTCAGTGGATGTAGCGTCGGCCTGCGGACTGAGGGGTCCCAGGTTCTGTTCCGGTCGGGGGCATGTGCCTTGGTTGTGGGCACATCCCCGGTGGGGGGTGTGCAGGAGGCAGCTGATCCGTTTTTCTCTCTCATCGATGTTTCTAACTCTCTATCTCTCTCCCTCCCTCTCTGTGGAGAATCAATAAAACATATTTTAAAAAAAAATGAACTCTTGCCCGGCCAGCATGGCTCAGTGGTTGAGCATCGACCTATGAACCAGGAGGTCATGGTTTGATTCCGGGTCAGGGCACATGCTCAGGTTGCGGGCTTGATCCCCAGTAGGGGGCATTCAGGAGGCAGCCGATCAATGATTCTCATCATTGATGTTTCTCTCTCTCCCTCTCTCTCTGAAATCAATAAAAATATATTTAAAAGAAAAATGAACTCTGATAGGATTATGCTTCCGGGGGAGATCTAAGTATTTGCAAATTTTGTTTCCATTTGTAGATGTTTTCTTTATCGTAGTGCATCTGTGTTCTCTGGAATGTCAGAGCAAGGTGGTCACTCACGTATTTCCACCCGAGCGTGGTTTTGCAGTTCTCACAGTAGATGTCTGCGACGGCGTGCAGGCCGGTGAGAAGGACCCTCTCCTCGGCAGGGCCGCAGCCCACGTTCACCCTGCAGGAGGGAGGAGCCGGGCTGGAGACCTGCCCCCTGAGGGCCTTCCCCCGCACCCCCCCTTGGTTACCAGACAGGCAGCAGCATTCCGTAACTGCCCGCCTCCCCCAGCCCTGCCCACCACCACCTCTCAGGAGAAGGCACCACCTTCTGTCTCCCCAGGACGGGCCAGGCTCTGGGAGGTGAGCACAGTGCTGCTGTAGCAAAACTCACCCCCCCTCCCCGCAACGGGAAGGAAACCACAGCCTGTGTGCAGACTGATCCCTCAGAGCCGCACGCCTTCCCGAAACTCTCAAGACGAGAGAGAATTCTTTAAGATGATGTAAGAGACACCGGTCCTAGACACTGGGGAGCACTGAACTCCAGCACCGAGAGCTTCAATGGCACAGACGCGACCCCTGGGATCTGACACCGAGCACAGCAGTCCCCGGGCCGAGTGGCCGTGATACTCACACAGAATTGAAGAGGTAGGCGCGGCCCTGGCTTCCCTGAAAGGACTGAAAGAAGAGCAAAGTGTTAAAGGTGATTGTGACGAGGCAAAGGTGACATGTGTCTCGAGTTTTGGAATGAAAGTGGAGGAGCTGTGTTTCAGGTCACGGATCGGCACACGAGCTGAAGGGCGGCCTGGCAGAGCGTGAGGGGCTGAGCTCAGGGCCCGGAGCAGGACAAGATCTTCCCAAAAGCAGGGGGGTGGGGGGGGAGCCATGGCTTCCAAGAGCCCCACAGGGGCTGCCAGGGGTCCTCACTCATTCAGATGCACCACGTCTGTCAGATATTAGGGGCAAGGGGGTGTTTTCATGCTTTTCCACTGAAATGAAGTCACAAGATGGCCCCTCCCTGGGAGGAAAGTACAGCTCACCCCAGGAGTGTTACAAGCTAAGAAACAGCTCGTAGCATATTGATCATCCTAAGATGATTTAGGAGGCGGGATGGGGTGTTAGTGCCTCCTGGATAGATCAGGTCAGTCCCAGACTCAGCTTGAGGTTCGTCTGTCTGGTGCCAGGCTCAAATGACCCAACAGAACAGATGGACCACAAAAATAATCAGCGAAAAGCAAACCCCTGCAAGAACACTGTCTTGGTTTCTTTGCCTGTCACTTGGCACTAATTCAAAAGACCGTGAGGATGGTTGACTGGAGCACAAGCTGACCATATCAAGATGTGGAAGGCACAGACCGAATGGCCAGCAACCCACTCTCAGAACCGACTGTAAAGAACAGATCAGCTTGAGTGCACAAGGATATGTGACCAGAACGGTCACCATCACAGTGTGTGTAATTGCAAAAAAAAAGGAAAAAAGAAAAACCCACCAATAAGCGAGCAAGCAAATGAATTCACTTCACACCCGGGCTCATGCACTTCAAAAGGGTGACAGGAACAGATCGGTATGAGTGGGCTGGAAAGTGGGCATAAAATACTGCTAAGCGAAGAAAGAGCTGTGAAATGACGTGTCATGAGCTCTATTTTAAGGTGAAAATGTGTTGTCATGGACACACACAACAAACAGAAAAACAACCCCCCTCCAAACACACACACACACACACACACACACACACACACACACAAAACAGACAACAATACACACCAAATTACTAAGTGATTAAGGAATGGAGTTGGGGTAGGAACTCCTTTATACATACACATCACTTTAATGTGTAATTACAGAGCCCTGGCCGACCCATGATGAACACCTTACCTGAGCAAGAAACAAACCCTCCTTTAGCCCTGGCTGGGTGGCTCAGTTGGTTGGAGCGTCCCATTCACCAAAAGATGGTGGGTTCAATTCCCATACCCAGGTTGTGGGTTCGATCTCCGTGTGCATAGGGGAGGCAACCGATCAATGTTTCTCTCTCTCTCCCTTCCTCTCTAAAATCAATAGAAAACATATCCTCAGGTGAGGATTAAAAAATAAATAATAAATAAATAAATAAATAAATAAACCTTCATTTTAAGCCACAGATTTGGGGTTGTTACTGAAGCAAAACCTAGCCTGAGACTAGCAGTGTTTTGATTTAAATATACAGCTTTCAGACTTACAAAGGGGTCTTCCCTTAAGTAGCTTCTTAGAATGAGGAATATTAATGTCCAATTAAAGATTCATCATTGCCGAAACCGGTTTGGCTCAGTGGATAGAGCGTCGGCCTGCGGACTGAAGGGTCCCAGGTTCGATTCCGGTCAAGGGCATGTACCTGGGTTGCGGGGCACACCCCCAGTGGGAGATGTGCAGGAGGCAGCTGATCGATGTTTCTCTCTCATGGATGTTTCTAACTCTCTATCTCTCTCCCTTCCTCTCTGTAAAAAAATCAATAAAATATATTAAAAAAAAAAAAGATTCATCATACAAACTTTTCACACATCCCCATTGGCTTTCAAGTTTCTAAACTGATTTTCCGAATTTTCACCTATTCTGTGAATCCTTGTTTTTTTTAAAATACTATGAGGAAGGGAGAAGGAGAGATAAAACATCAATGATGAGAGAGAATCATCGATCAGCTACCTCCCACACCCCCCCCCCACTGGGGACTGAGCCCCCAACCCAGGCATGTGCCCTTGACTGGAATCAAACCTGGGACCCTTCCGTCCGCAAGCCAATGCTCTATCCACTGAGCCAAACCAGCTGGGGCTGAATCCTCATTTTTAAAAAAATATATTTTATTGATTTTTTACAGAGAGGAAGGGAGAGAGAGAGAGAGAGAGTTAGAAACATCGATGAGAGAGAAACATCGATCAGCTGTCTCCTGCACATCTCCCACTGGGGATGTGCCCGCAACCAAGGAACATGCCCTTGACCGGAATCGAACCTGGGACTTTTCAGTTCGCAGGCCGACGCTCTATCCACTGAGCCAAACTGGTTTTGGCTGAATCCTCATTTTTGACACAGAGATTTGGATCAAAGGTGTGATCAGATCTGTGGTTCAAATTAAAGCCACAGTCTGACTACAGCTGGGCTCTGCAAAACTGCTGTAAAATTAGAGCCCAGATAAACGTTTTAGGCTGTGGGGCCATTTATACTCTGTGGTGGAACCAAAGTAGCCGCAGATGATACATAAAACTTGACGGAAACAGCGCTCCGCCATGTGGCTGCCGACGGGGTTGCCTCTGACAACCAGACCTGCCTCACCGGCGGGCTTCCCTGGGCCGGGGTTGCTTGTTAGCGCGCAGATGGACCCAGACACCCTGACTGGTTTGGCTCAGTGGATAGAGCGTCAGCTTGGGACTGAAGGGTCCCAGGTTCGATTCCAGTCAAAGGGCATGTACCTTGGTTGCGGGCACATCCCCAGTAGGGGGTGTGCAGGAGGCCGCTGATGGATGTTTCTCTCTCAATGTTTCTAGCTCTCTATCCCTCTCCCTTCCTCTCTGTAAAAAAAATCAATAAAATATAAAAAACAAAACAAAACAGATGGACCCAGAGGCTGTGACCCTGTCAGGACGGCCTCCGGCCTCCCGTGAATTCGGTTCTGCTCCCCTCGACGAGCGCTACGGAACAACAACGGGAGACAGCGACGTTCTGAAAGCACGAGTACCTGGCTGCTCAGTCAGGGCACTGGCCTCTTCTCCTTAGGGCAGCACATTAAGGAATGACAACAGCCAACACCACGGCTGTCTAGTGTGAATGAATCAAAATTATTTCTATTTTTTGTCAGATCGGCAAAAACCACGGGGTCATGACCTGTGAGGGTGGTCCTGGCTCAGGAGCCTCACCCCGCGCCGGACACAGCACTTGCCTTGGAGATGAGCTCGTCGTGATTGGCCAGGTGGGCTCTGCAGTGGACACAGCTGTACGTGCGGTGGCAGTTTGGCAGATAAGCTTGGAAGGTTTTGGACTTGGTCATCTTCACCATGTCTGCGGGGCACTCCTCGCGCAGCGCGGGGCCGGCGCTGAGCGCGCGGCGGCTCGGCGGGGCTCTCGCACAGAAGCAGCACTGGAATATGCACGCAAGAGCCGTGGTGGGTCAGGGGGCGTGTGGCCCCGTCCACACAGCTGGGGCCAGCGGAAAACGTCTCGACCTGGCAATAAGTCAGGACAAACAGTGCGTTACGGAGAATGAAGTTCACCAACAAGGCGTGTGTAGGATGCATGCATTCTGAAGAATGGGGCCTGGGCCCTAGCCAGTTTGGCTCAGTGGTTAGAGCGTCGGCCTATAGACTGAAGGGTCCCAGGTTCAATTCCGGCCAAGGGCACATGCCCGGGCTGCAGGCTCGATTCCCAGTAGGGGGCGTGCAGGAGGCAGCCAATCAATGATTCTCTCTTATCATTGATGTCTCTCTCTCTCTCTCCCTCGCTCTCACTCTCTCTCTCCCTTCCTCTCTGTAATCAATAAAAATATATTTTAAAAAAGAATGGGGGATGGGCAGGACTAGAAGTTGAAGATCCAGTCCTGCCATATTAATTGTACATGAAAAGAACAGTAAGCCCGGCCGGCCTGGCTCAGTGGGTGAGTGTTGATCTATGAACCAAGTGGTCACGGTTCGATTCCCGGTCGGGCCACATTTCCGGGTTTTGGGCTCGATCCCCAGTGTGGGGCATTCAGGAGGCAGCTGATCCATGATTCTCTCTCATCACTGATGTTTCTGTCTCTCTCTCCCTCTCCCTTCCCCTCTGAAATCAATAAAAATATATTTTAAAAAATACTAATACGTAATCACTGTTTAATCATTCTAAATGGTGTTGAGTGTGGCAGGTGGACTACTTTTACATACAAAAAGTTTGAGAAAAACGTTTGATCAGCTACATGTCTACTGTGTGTGGCTTCAGGAAAAGTGAAAGAAAGTAGCAGCCACCTGGGTTCCCGTCCGAGTGAGGGGACAGCAGCACGGGAAACATCCCGTCCCAAATCACCGGATGAATGACTCAAAGCACCACGACATATATGAATACATGATGGACCCACTATTTTTTTAAATATCTTTAAAGTTAATTTTTAGAGAGAGAGGAAAGGAGAGAGGGAGGGAGAGAGAAACATCAATGTGAGAGTGAGACATCGACCGGCTGCCTCCTGCACCATTCCTGCCGGGGATCGAACCTGCAACCCAGATACGGGCCCTGACTGGGAATCAAACCAGCACCGTGCAGCGCACAGGAGGACGCCCAACCACCTGAGCCACACTGGCCAGGGCGGGAGCCTCCAGTCATTAGTCGGTATCAGTCCAGAGGGAAACGCTTGTATGTGGTAAAGGATTTCGACAAGGACACCAGGGCCATTCATGGGGGAAGGACAGTCTTTTCAACAAATGGCGCCGGGAAAACTGGACACCGCATACAGAAGGATGACGTTAAACCCTTCCCTTACACCGTACACAAAAATGAATTCAAAGTCCATCAAATACATAAATGTAAGAAATAAAACTGTGAAACTCTTAGAATAAAATATAGCAAGAATTTTTATGACACTGGATTTGGCACTGACTTCTTGGATGACACCAAAGCACAGACAGGCCTGTAGATTTACAGAAAGTAAAGTGAGGAGAACATGGGGCAGAGGCGTCATATGTGAAGAAAGGAAGATGGAGGATTTTTCAGAATTGAAGAAAGACACCAAACCACAGACAAGAAGTCCAATAATTCCAAGTGGAATAAATAAAAATAAAGTCACACCTGGCCACATAATAAAACTGCAGAAACCCAAAGAAAAAGGGGGGGGAGCCTGATTAGTATCCAGAAGAGGAGGGAAAATTACTTTTCAACACACAACTTCCCAAGGAAACCTATGGAACCAGAAGGCAGTAGGGAAAGGGGCCTTTAAGGGTCTGAGAGATAACTGCAATCCCAGAATTTCATACCCAGTGAAAACATCTTTCAAGGATTTGGGAAATGATATCTTCCAACAACTAAAAAGCTTGACCTCAGCAAAATATCACTAAAAAAGTTCAAGGATGTGCTTCAGACAGAAGAAAAACAACTCTAACAGAAGGAATGCCAAGTAAACAGACCGTCAAACTTCAGAGGGAAGGCAGGGGAGGGGGGTGGGGGGGGGTAAGAGATCAACCAAAGGACTTGTGTGCATGCATATAAGCGTAACCAATGGACACAGACAGTAGGGGTGAGGGCATGTGCTGGGGGGTGGGAGCCGGTGGGGAGAGGTCAACGGGGGGAAAAAGGAGACATGTCATACTTTCAACAATAAAGAATTTAAAAAAAAACTAAAAAAAAAATTTCTGTTGTTTAAGCCACCCCCTCCCCCCAAAAAAGAAAAAGAAAATGGTAAATATGTGGGTAAACAATGACTTGTGGAGCTTTAAAAAGACAGGATTATGATACATGACAACAGTCAGGGTGAAAAGTCAAAGGAAAATGTTCGAGCCCTTGTATTGCCCCCAAAATACTTTAGATTCTAGTAAATTAAGGAGAAATGTAATTTCTGATGAAACGTCTATAAGAACAAAAGTGTATAAACTTCCGAACCTGTGAAGGGAAATACCCGGGAACGCTAACGTGATCCTCAAGGGAGGCAGGAACGGAGAGGAAGAGACACGGCAGAAGGAGCAGGAAGCACCGAGGAGGGAGCGAGAGTCCAGCGAGTCCCTCGGCGCCACAGGGGACGCACGTGCACCGGGTCAGGTGGTCCGGGTTCAGACCGAGCAGAACACAAGGCTCATCTCAAGCTCATCATCATGCAAGAGACACACCTTAGACATAAGGACGCGAAAAGGGCGCTGGCAACAGAGATGTACGGTTTGTAGTTCTTTGCCGACAGTATACACTGTTTTATGTATTTGTTTCTATGTGATTCACAATAAAGAAGTAGAGTAGTCCTCCGGCAGGTAGCTCAGCTGGTCAGAGCGGCGTACCGAGAGCCAAGGTTGCAGGTTCGATCCCCGGTCAGGGCACATACAAGATGTAACCAATGAACGGCTGAGTGGAACAAGTCCATGTTTTTCTCTCTCTCTCGCGCGCGCGCTCTCTCTCTTTCTCTCATCAGTCAATTAAAAAAAAGTTAAAGTAGTAAAAGCAGAGAAAAACATATACAAGGTGGGGCAAAAGTAGGTTAAAGTTGTGAGTACACAAAAGTTTATTTTTCTTAAAAAATATATTTTATTGATTTTTTTACAGAGAGGAAGGGACAGGGATAGAAAGTTAGAAACATCGATGAGAAACATCGATCAGCTGCCTCCTGCACATCTCCTACTGGGGATGTGCCCACAACCAAGGTACATGCCCTTGACTGGAATCGAACCTGGGACCCTTCAGTCCGCAGGCCGACGCTCTATCCACTGAGCCAAACCGGTCAGGGCTCCGTTTATTCTTATATCATTTATTGATTATTTGTCCTGCACCCCGTCATATCAAAAGGCCCAAACTGGTGAAGAGCGAGATGGATGGGAGCATGTTCTCTACCAGAGCCGGCCAGAGAGCGAGGCCTGTCACTGTCCCCCAGAGTCATCAGGAGTGTGGTCCCGGCCCTGCCGGCGGCTCAGGCAGTTGCAACGTCATCTCGTCTCGTCCACCAAAGGTCGTGGATTCAGTTCCTGGTCAGGGCACAGACCTAGGTTGCAGGTTATTTTTATTTTTATTTTTTTATATTTTATTGATTTTTTACAGAGAGGAAGGGAGAGGGATAGAGAGTTAGAAACATCAATGAGAGAGAAACATCGATCAGCTGCTTCCTGCACACTCCCTACTGGGGATGTGCCCACAACCAAGGTACATGCCCCTGACCGGAATCGAACCCGGGACCCTTCAGTCCGCAGGCCGACGCTCTATCCACTGAGCCAAACCGATCAGGGCTAGGTTGCAGGTTTGATTCCCAGTCAATTCCCAGTTGGGACGTACACAGGGGGCAACTGATCAATGCTTGCTTTCCTCTTTCTCTTCCTCTCTCTCTCCCCCCCTTCCCTTCTCTCTCTAAAAATCAATAAAGAACATATCCTCGGGTAAGGGTTAAAAAAAAGAAGAGTGTGATACAGTGGGGCCTTGACTTACGAGTTTAATTCGTTCCGTGACGGAGCTCGTAACTCAAATTACTCGTATGTCAAATCAAAAAGTGAACGAGTGAGACACGTGATGCTGGGCTGATGTTGTGGCGTTCACTGTGACGTTCGCTGCGCCAACTAGCGGTGGGGTATCTGAAGCTGGCTCGTAACCCGAATTTTAGCTCGCAACTCAAAGCAAAAAATCGGCTGAGAGATGGCTCGTATCTCGAAAAACTCGTTAGTCGGGACACTCGTAAGTCAAGGCCCCACTGTACTGGCTTGGGTTAGTTAGAGCATTGTCCCAATACGCCAAGGTTGTGGGTTCAATCCCTAGTCAGGGCACACACAAGAAGCAACGAGTAAATGCATAAAAAAGTGGAACAAATCCATGTTTCTCTCTTTGCCTCTCCCTTTCCCTCTTCCTCTCTAAAATTAAAAAAAAATTGTATGTGATACTAGAGGCCTGGTGCACGACATTTGTGAACTGGGATGGGGGGGACCCTCAGTCTGGCCTGCGCCCTCTCAGTCCGGGACCCCCAAGGGGTCCTTAGTGCTGCTGAGGAGCGGGGAGAGGCTCCCACCACCTCCACTGCACTCGCCAGCCACCAGCCCAGCTTCTGACTGAGCAGCGCTCCCCCTGTGGGAGCGCACTGACCACCAGGGGGCAGCTCCTGCATGGAACGTCTGCCCCCTGGTGGTCAGTGTGTGTCACAGCGACCCATCCTTCTTCTGTTTGGTTGATTTGCATATTAGGGTTTTAGTATATAGGATTGGCTCGGGACAAAACCAGGTCATGTGACATAAAAGCAAGCTCAGAAGATCTATGTATATCCTAGAAGGACACCAGCTGTAGCAGAAGGGACAGTGTGGCTCACTGGGAAAGAACAGATTTAAAAATGGTGGACAACAGTATATCCAGGAAAAGGAAAAGGCAGACCCCACTTCAGGCCATAATAACAAGTTAACAGCGTATCGCACTTTCCAACAGAGAAAGCCAGCCAAGAAGGCGGCAGTGGAGGAAATTTCCACACAAGGGCCACGGGCCCACACCCACACCCACCCTCTAAAATGAGGCCTGTCACACCCGGCTGGTGTGG